GCTGCTGATGACGTCAGGTACGCGCTTTAATCGGGCGCGCTTTAGTGGACCGCGGTTTTGTCGTGCCACGATTTGCAGCAAATCCCTGCTTTGCTGCCAGAGTTCAAGGTTATTCCTGTTGCAACTTTTTTTCTCTCTCTCTGGCTGCTTTAGTTGCGAGGAAGACTGAGAAATGCATTCATTGCCTGGCAAAATCTGAAAGAAGGACGGTACTTTTTAGGATTCCCAGACCTGTGCAATAGGAGTGGGTGCATCCTGGCACGGAATATTAATGCGTAAAATGTTCCACTTTAATTTTAACAACTTGTGTCTTGGTGTTACCTGGACAACAGCTTTCCCTGCTTCAAGGTTAAGATGTGCTGGATGGAAATCGTGAGAATAATAACCCATCACATTCTGGAGGGAATCTCATCTGGAGAGGACCAGGTTGAGAAAACCTTATTAAAATGAACATTCGGTTTGGCAAGATTCTTTCAAATTCTACCCAGTAAAGGGGATCCGTTGCTCTCCTGTATGTGTTTTTTTTAAAGAGAGTGACAGGGATACGCAAAGGGAAGATGAAGATTTATGCATCTCTGAGCAAAATTTTGTGGATGAAGCAGAATGACTGCATAATAAAAGCTTTATCTTCTGTGACCTATCTCTGTTTCAGTAATCCTGGTATGATCTCAGCGCATATAACCTATTTGCAAGCATTTGTCTGCCACCTTCTCACCCCACCCCTGAATGGCTCAGGGTTATGAAAGCATAAAGCATCATTCCCCAAATTGATAAACTTATTAAAATTCTATCATCGCCTCATTAAGTTTCTCCAAAAACCTTGAAGAGAGCACTTTTCTTTTCCAGCTTTCCTCAAGGTGAATAGGATGGGGAGGGAATTCTTATCTAGGTAGGCAGTATCGATGTAATTTACTCTTTTACGTATGTATCATCACCCTATTCCCTTTCAGGATAAGCAGTATTAGCCAGAGCACAAAAAGAGAGAGTAAGAAATAGTAGTGAAAGCAAACTGCAGAGCAAAAGCACAACCATGTCTAGTTAACATCCTCCCTTGCACACCCATAGATGTCATTTGGAAAGGAGAAGGAAGAAGGGGAGGAAGAAGGAGGAGGGGAAGGGGAAGAGGAAGGAGGAGGAGGAGGAAAGAAGGGGGAAAAATAACTCTGGGAAGAGTTCTGGGAAGTCGGGGGGAGGGGGGAGGGGGGAGGGAGCGGAGTTTACTAANTCAACCCTGAGCCGGTGAGATTTGAACCGCTGACCTGCTGATCTAGCAGTAGCCTGCAGTGCTGCATTTAACCACTGCGCCACCTTGGCTCTTTGGTTTGGTTCATGTTATCTGTGAACATCGTCACAAACACTATGATAAATTAGTTAAAACACAATATTCTATTATGGAAAATTGCACGATGACTTGAGGAAACAAGACATTGTTTTGTCTTTCCTTTAATAGTTAATTTGTAATTTAACCCATAGCTCAAAATAATTGAAATTACAGAGGTGAAGCAAACAACTGTGCCTATCTATTTTGGCAAGTGTGTGTCACAGAATTTAATATAATTTTATTTCCCATTTTTGTGTTTTATGCAATTACCTTGCAGCAAGCCAAAATTGAAGAAGAACAGCAAAGTTCAACTCAAAATGCTGGTGAGCCCTCCACATCTGATTCAAGACGACCACGCATCAAAAAAAGTGCATATTTTAGTGATGAGGAAGAACTTAGTGACTGATATAAATACTATGTAAATATACTTTATGAAATAAGATTACTGTTGTAACCATGATCTCATTCTTGTAATTCAAATATAACCTTTTTTGTATTTTGTATTTTTTTCCTTTTAAAACAAACATTTCATCATTCATTAATTAATGTGTCACCTGAGAACATTTTTTTGTGTCATAATAGTTGTAGTTTACCACCAAATTCTTTATTCTTATTTTAACATTACAACATAACATATCTCCTGTTATAACATTTCTCCTCCTAAATTATTTACTTTTATACTTTTTATCCATATTCATTTTCTAACTAATGATAAAATAACCCCCATTTTTTATTATAATCAGATTCTTCCTTTCTTTTAATTGCTAGTGTTAATCTACCCATTTCTGTGCAATCTAATATTTTCGTAATTATTTTTTCATCTTCAGGGATTTCTTCAGCTTTCCAATTTTGTGCAAATAGAATTCTAGCCGCAGTTATTACATGAATAATCACATATACATTTTCTTTACTATATTTCTCTGGTAAGATATCCAACAAGAACAGTTCAGGTTTTAAGTCAATATGTTGCTGCATTACCTTCTCCAATCACATTTGAATTCTTGCCCAGTATTTTTTCACTTTTCTACATGTCCACCACATTGTGATAATAGGATCCCAGCATTTGGTGACATTTCCAACATTTGGTTGATTTGTCTTTAAACATTTTATCATCACCTTTGTCGATTGCTTATAATAAATTGTCTTAATCATATTTATAAATCTCTCCCCAAAATCCATAGTCTGTAATTGCATTATCATAAATTGCCAGTTCACATTGTCAAACACCTTCTGCACATCCAAAAAGATCAACACCATTTGTTTTTCTGGTTGACCTTCATAGTATTCCAAGGTGTTCAAAATTATTCCCATGTTGCCTCTAATCTGCCTCTTAAGTAGAAAGCCATTTTGATTTGTATATGTAAATTCATTTAAAAGTCTCTTTAATCTTTCAGCCATTATTGAAGCAAATATCTTTTTAGTCCACATTTAACAGGAAAATCAGTCTATAATTTTTTATCTGTTACAGGTCTATATCTTCTTTCAGGATGAGAGTGATATATGCCTCACCCATTACCTATAGTAATAGTTCATTAAATACTTCCAGTATTGTGTTGGTTATAACATCTTCGAACATTTTATATAACACTACTGGTAATCCATCTGAGCCTGGCGTTTTACCATTCTTTTGTCTTTTAATTGTCTCTGTCAGTTTTCATCGTTATCCTTTCCTCTAATGCCTTTTTAAATTTTTCTGGTATTTTCGGTAATTCAGCCTTGTCTAAATATTGCTTTGCTTTTTCTCCTGAGATTGTCTCTTGTTTATAGTTTCTCTTAATAATCCTGAATTATTGCCCCCCCCTCATTTTGATAACATACAGTCCCTTACTCATCAATTAATTGATAGATTAAATTTCAATTTGTATGCCAGCCATCTTCCTGGTTTATTTGCATTTAAAAAAAATACAGTAAATCAATTGACATCCACATTGTGTCTGTTCGAATAAAATGTGTACTGTTTTCTATCCGGGTATCTTCCTCGTCAAGCATCTTGAATACCTAGTTCCTTCATCATTGTAAAAAAAGTTTTGGGACTGTTTTTTCTAGGCTTCTTCTTGTAGTTTTATAGTCCAATTCTTTATCTACAATTGCATTAAAATCACCTATGATATATATGTTTTCATACTCAAATTCTATTATTTTCCTGTGTAATTTACCATAAAAATCCTCTTGTCATTTGGAGCATATATCGCCACTAAAAGTATTTTTTTGTATTTCATTATTATCTCGACCATTAAAATCCTCCCTTCCTCATCCTCAAAAATTAGTTTGGATTTTATTTTCTCTTTAATGTATAGTGCAACACCTCACTTACTTGGATGTATAAGTGCAGTTTCCCCATCTTTGATGTTCCCCCCAAAAAATTGTGTTGCTTTCTGGTATGAACTTCTTGTAAACAAATTGTCAAATTTTAATTTCACCAATTTATTAAAAGTTCTTTTCCTTTTAATTGCCTAATTCAATCCATTTATATTTATTGATATTACTTTTATTTCTCCCTTCATGTTTTACTTATATGTGGGTTTCATTGCGCTGGTCATTCTTATCTCTCTTTGGCCTCTGCATTCCTTTGCTCTGGCTCCTTCTCATTGCTATTTCTTCTTAATTCTTTACTGTCTCTTTTGCTTGCTTCCATAAACTCTTCCTGCCGCCTAACCTCTCTCTCCTCTCTCAATCTCTCCTTCTCTTGTCATCCTAAATATTGGTCATAAAATTGTTCTACTTTGTCTAATGAATCTAATCTGTGCCTTTGTTCTTGCCAATTTACCAATATTACCTCAGGTACCAGCCATCTAAAGTTCACTCCCTTCTTATATTCTCTTCTCAAGTCTCTAACTCTTCTTGGTACTTGTTTCAATACAACTATCTCTCTACCTTTATACTTCATTGGATCGTTTCTTGCTCTCTGCAGAATCTCTGTTCTTATTGCTTTCTTGATGAATGTAACATGCATCTCTCTAGGTAAATTGTTTCTCATCACATATCTCGTGTGCAATCTAAATATCTTGTTGATCTCATTTAACACATTTTCTTTAGTATTCTCTATTGCTTCCAACAACAACTCTGCCATTATTTCAGCTAGGTTTTCTCCTTTCTCTTCCATATTTTGAATCTTAGATAATAATCTGTGCAATCCATTTCTAGAGAAATAATTGTTTTCTCCTAGTTATTATCTACTGCTGTAAGTCTATAATCCAGCTGTCCCACTTTCTTTTCTGAAAGCTTTTTCTTCCACTTTTTGTATTCTTTATTTATTTTTCTCCAAAATCCCTTTAAAGTCTTTTAACTCCCCTTCTACTTTCTCCATTCTTCCATCTAATTTGCCTATCCTTTTTTTCAAGTCTTAATGTAGAGCCTGTATCATATTTTTTAGATCAAGTTTCTCTTGGTGTGCCATGGTCTCCAATGTTGTCTGACTCGCAGGACTAGAAGTTGTTGAAGAGGCTGCTGAAGACAATTGTGTTGTTCAATAAAAAACCAGGGGAAAAAAGAAGATGAAAAAATACATCTTTATAATCCAAATCCAAATCTCTTGTTAACTTCTTTTCTTCAGGTTCTTCTTACCTTAATCCACATTGCTCAAAAGAGTGAAGAAAGAGGACAAAAAAGAGGGTTTTTTTTAAAAAAAAATGAGTAAATTTTTTAATCCAAATCAACCCACCAGATCCAAAATTGCAATTGTCTTGTTTTTTTTATTCCAAAATAAAAATAATCATAGTATTACCAACCACTGAGAAAAGGAAAATCAAAATCGTATGTCCAACTATTCAAAAGACAAAAGGAGAAAAAGAATATCTATCATCTTTCCTGTTATTTCTCTTTCAAGTTCTGAGAGCTGCACTGTTCCAGTAAATAACGAAATTTTTTCCCCCTCTCTATGAAGCAAAATAATTTCTTATCTATCCCGTTCACACATTGCTCTTTTCTTTGTTCTTATGACCAAATTGCAAGGAATTGTGCCTCTAGATGGCACTATAGTTCAATTCCAAAAAGGAAAAAAAGTTTTATGAAAAGAAAAAAAAATCATTTAGTCACTTTAGTTTTAATTTTTAATCTCTACTTTGAAAAATAAGAGATTTGAGTTTATTTAGTCTGGCTTTCTGATTTTTATTCTTTTGGAAACAGTCTTACGAAGCCAATTCAGTTTTTCCCTTTTTTTACTTATTTGGCTCCTCCTGCCTTCTTGGTGGAAGGAGGTGGAAGGGCGCACACACACACAAAAAAAACCCAGTTCCACCTCCTCTGTTTTTGCTGTACTCTCCTCTCTCTACTATTCCAAGGAGGTTATAAAAAGAAATATTTTTTTTAAAAAAAATACCTCACCCAGACTGTCCACACTTTTCTGTCAGTCCACGTTCCTTTCGTGACCACCCCAGCTTTATGGTGGCTTGTAATGGCCACTTCCTTGGTCGCCAGTTTGAGAAGCTTCTTCTGAAATGGCTGGGGAATTTGCAACTTTAGATCTCATCGATTAGGCCTCCTCCGAGTTCCATCTGCTGGTCAATGCCGACTGGCAACCACGCGGAAGAGAGCCTTCTC